CTACACTTGTTTTCATTTGAAATGGAAAACAAGGAAATGCAATTAACACTATACATTACTTGCATTTGTATATTTGACTACTTAGAAGGAATATCCAGGATCTTTAATTTTTTTAAGAAAAACTTTAAACTTTTAAGAAATGTTAAGAGTGATTTTCTTACCCTATTCAGCAGCTATAACAAAATACCATAGACTGAAGTAGCCTATAAACAGCAGAGATGTATTTCACACAGTTGTGGAAGCTGAAAAGTCCAAGATTAAGGTGTCAGCAGGTTTGGTTTCTGGTGAGGATCAGCCTCCTGTTTCACAAATGGCAGCTTTTAGCGGTGTACTCACATGGTAGAATGGGCAAGGTAGCTCTCTGTGGCTTATCATATAAGAGTTCTAATCCCATTCATGAAAGCGTTGCCCTCGTAACTTAATTAGTTCCCAAAAGTCCAACTCCTGAAACTACTACATTGGTGATTAGGTGTCAATATATGGCATTTAAGGGGACCCAGACATTCAGCTTGTAGCGGTACTCTCAGCAACTTATTCAATTTCATGTCTTCTAAAATACATACTATGCTTTTTAGGACATCAAAGGTGGTTAGCAAATGTTAGTTAAATGAATGAAGAGTATTCAGAGTAGGGTGTGGGTGATAGAATGATGGTTAACTTGCATTTTGTTGTTTTCATTTGTAATACATTAAATTTCATATCAAAGTTATAAATTCTTACTTTGTAATAATAAATTCACTATTACACCTTGTGTAGGACAGATTTTTTACAACACGAAGCTGTGAAAGCTCTTGAAAACTTCTGTTATCACTTAACTATTCGAATAGCATTCAAAAACTTATTTAAATTAGTTGTATATGGAAGGATATAAAAGTGGATTCACCTAATTATTCTAAACTAATTATAATCCATGATGCTGGTGTGACCTTGAAGAAAGACTCATTGGCATGTTGAAATATCACATAGTCTTACTGGATTTGAACATTTAATGGCATCAGAAACACCACCCACATTAAATTCATGGGGCAAAACAAGCTTTAAGAACTAGGCCTAGGGAACTGATTTTTTTTTAATGGCTTTAAGTTACAAGTGTTGTTATATGCTTCTGCAACATAAAATTACATATTTTATAACTTTTTCAAATTTATCACAATTAGGAATGTAGGATATCTTAAATTTGCACCTTAGTTCTTTGGTATAGAAATTGGAGAAAATGTAACTATTTTTGTAAGCCTTATTAATTAAAGGATGAATGCACACATGTATTCAACGGGAACCCAATGGAATAATATAAAGTGCTTCTTGGTCTGGTATCTATAACATTTACAGTGAAATCAGATTATTATAGATATTAAATTATGTTTTATTAAAATTATAAGCAAATAATTTGCACATGGATGAAGAGATTGCCAATATCCTTTTCTGTAGACTATACAAGGTATTTATCAGTATCTCAACAAGCTAAAACCACATCCATTCACATCTTTAAGAATTTTCACATTTATTTTAGAAAATAAAAAATTAAACTATAGACATCGTGATTATTATTGAGTGTTAAAATAAAATGGAGGTGCAGTACAAGACACCTTATCAATTATGTAGTCATAATTGTTTGCACTCATACAGCATTTAACACAGATTAATCAGAATATTGTTATGTTGAAATAAAATTTGTCTTATTAATTGGGAAAAGGTTTAGCATACTAGAGGTTTAATTTAAAGAGTGGGAAAGAATGTGTACATTGGTAATTTTTGGCACTTAAGAAGAAGCAGAATGTTATCTATCTTGGATGTTTTTATTGGTCTGTATATCTACACAATTATCCTGTGATCTACCACTAGGGCGGGTGTTGAGAGATGGAACTTGAATAGTCAATGGGAATTAAAGACACTGTGCTTGAATCTGTCATGCCAAGCAAGGAATCAAGACTGTGCCTGTAACTCAAGAGAACAAAACAAGAGTGTAAACTACTTGAACGAAGGTGTAAGGTGCGCTTTCCCACAGATAATTTAATAAGATCCTGACTGTTGGAAACAGGACACAAAATTATTGACAGCTTATAAAAATCTCTGACCTGCAAGCGCAAACTTGAGCTATGGATTATGTAGACTGATTCAGGTACCCATTCCAAATACCTGTTCCAGGATGGCATGAGGACCGGCCAATCAATAGGAGACTGAGAGTATGTGAGGAAAGAAAACTACAACTTTAAATACAGGAAGACACTCCCCTCCCCAAATAGTAAAATATCATATAACTCATACGCATAAAAATTGGCTGAACACTAAATATTATAGTTGAATGTAAACTGCATATTATCAGGGCAATACAGATGCTTTAGTCTCTTCCTTTTCATATGCCTTGTCAAGAAGAATTAAACAGAAGCTCTGAAACATTGACCTAATTGTGCTTTTTAATGGGTTCTGTAAAACAGGTATGACTGTCATTCTTCCAACTTAAATAAGCAAAACTATGCCTATGAATTATTAAATAACTGTTTAATACATTATTAAATGTTTGTGTCTGTGAACTTGAGTAACCAACTTAATTGAAATGTTGTGTTAGATCATAAGCCCCTTTGAAGTTATTTATAATCAGTTGCTAGAAAGAATTTTCCAAGATATATTGAAAATATACTAAGCTATAAGTATTTCCAAGGTACAAATTACAATAAAAATGTTTAAATTGTGGAATGTAACAATGGACAATGATGTATGACCTTGAGTCAACTGACAATGAATAAAATAGAACATATTAAAAGTATGTTTTAATTATCACTTCAAACCATTTAAATGTCTTTAGACTAATAAAATCCAATCTGTACTAGGCAGCAGGGGAGGGAGGAATTGATGTCTCTGTTGTAATATTAATACCAGTTAGAAGACTTTGTAATATTTAGAGCCCAAGTGGGCTGCCATCTACTAAATGTCATAATTTTATTTCTTGTTTTCACTGTTAGGATGACCTTGGGTAAAAGACAGCATCTTTTTATTTTAGCTTCTTTATGGTAAAATATACATGGTTGTAAGTTTTAGCTTTTATTCATTCGGTTTATTTGATGATATCAGATTCTGATTCTAAAACTGTGAAAACTTGAAAGGTGGAACTACTTTTGTGGAGATTATTGTAGAGGAGCCCTTAAGAAAAAAAAAAAAAAAACCTTTGACATTTTCTCCCTGTATCTGCTTAGCTTATAGGCTAAAATAACCATATAAAAATAAGTTACAATTTAATTATTAAAACTCTCAATATAATTTTTCTCATTGCATCATTTTATATAATACTCAGTAAGTTTTTAGATTCAACCTAAAATGATCTGCTTACTGTTATAAATATTTTTTCTTTTTCTTTGTTCTATGTTCAATAATGTAAACCTAGTTGACATTGGGCTGTAAGATTTGTATCCTTAATAGGCAGGGGTGGAACAGGATCATTTTTTTAACCTAGACTGGCACATTGATGCCTCATGTATGCTGTGATTTCATGTAAAAATAATTCTGAATCTGTGAAATGTATTGATTTTGTACTTTAATGTGATTGCTTTATCGACACCTTGACATTCCCCACTCTCAGCATCCTATTAAGAGATAACTTTGAGAGCATGAAATGCTAATGGTCGCTAGGCTAGGGTCAGGAATTTATTGCCATTTCTAGGGTTGATAATGGATTTGGCTTGGGTTTTATTTATTTACTTATGAGATGAGTCTTGCTCTGTCACGCAGGCTGGAGTGCGGTGGCACGATCACAGCTCACCGCAGCCCCGAACTTCTAGACTCAAGTAATCCTCCTGTCTCAGCTTCCCAGATAGCTGGGAATGTAGATGTACCACAAAATGCCCAGCTAATTTATTTTTATTTATTTTTCATGAAGACTGGGTCTTGCTATGTTTTCCAGTCTCAAATTCCTTGGCCTCCCAAAGTAATGGGATTACAGGTGTGAGCCACAATGCCCAGCCTAGCTTGGGTTTTAAAGTATAGGGAGACATCTGGTATGGGTGGGAGCTTGTCCTGGTCACATGAGGCAGGATGGGAAAAGGACAGGGAGCTTGCAGCTAGTCATGGAAATGGATCCATCAACAAAGGTCTAGGTTATTGCAGAGGTTGTCTGTTATAAAATTCTACTCTTTTAGAGTCTGCTATTATAAAAACTCTGATTCTGCTCTGTGTTAAAAAATTGAAATAATATGTGTGTTCTACACATAAGATAAAATATACAAGGGCTGAGTAGTGTCCCTCAGAAAACTGAGGAGAAGAAACAGTGGCAGACACTAGCCGAGTCTTGCGATGTTCCCCAAAAATGATACTTGCCATATTATTGCTTTCCCCTCAACCCCCAAAGACAGCAACATAGCATTATGTCAAGACATTGGGACTAAAATATCCTGGAAAACCTGTCCAAAGCACCTACTTAGAATTTCTTAGCCATATCTGAGGATTAGTATGGGATTGGAAGGACTGGCCAACCTTCCATTGTGGAAGTCAAGAGCTCATACTCCATAATGTGTCTTAGAGGAGGGCACAGAAAATAAACAATTGCTTTTCATGCCATGAAATAATGGAAGTGCATTGATAGATCAAACTTGAATGTGCAATATATTGTTTTCTCTTATCTCTAACCAAATACAAGTTACATTAAGACATTTTATTAGAAAAATGGGTTAATTTGGCAAGACCGTATCCATTGCTAAATATTGACTCTTTTGTACTTACTGAACTTAGGCAATAGATTGAAAACATAAAAGGTTAAAATGCAGTGTTTATTTACAAATGGAAATAATTCTAAACTACCTGATCATTTGAGGTTCATAACCGGAAAACACTTGAATCACCTAGATTCTATAAGTTGATGAATTAATTTATTTAACGATTTTCAAAATACTGAGATATTAAAGAGCACCAGCACACTTCATGACATATTTACTGTAAGAATTCTTCATAAAGTACAAGTAATTAAAAACTTAAGGAGTATAAGAGACTTCAAGAACAATTTCTTCTTTCAGAGTTATTTAAGAGTACCATGATGGTGAGATCTGATTCAGGAGGACAAGTTTACCTTGATTATCACAACAGGCAGGGCCTCTTAGTTGACTGGAAATACAATGAAGCATTTTATCTTGAAGAAGGGCAACCAGAGACTTATTATAGGACAGGTCAGCTGGACCGTTGCCCGGGCCTGTAATCTATAAGGAATGTCAAAATGTCATTAAAAGGCAATGAGGTGGAGAACATCTTATTTACTAGAACTCCCCTAGAGGGAGAATGTGTTGTAGTTCAAAGGGATACTTTGATAAATTACCAGTGGTGTGGGGTAAGGCAGAGGAGGGAGAGAGTTGGGAGGGTGGGAAATGGGAGAAACCACTAGGCTGGATGCCAAGGTAGCTTCCATATAGGAGAAGTACAGGAGTTTACTAATACTCTCCCCAAACACACACACACACACACACACACACGGATTAGTATTATCAAGTGTTTCCACCAGCTGTTTATTTCATAGATTGCTAAATACATTTTAACAGTCTTAAACTCAGTACTAAATAAACCTACACATTAATACTATTTTAAAAATTATACCTTTATTAGGATTCAGTTCCAAGGTCAACACCATCTCCTCCCCGAATATGAACGTAGCAGTTCTTGAGCCATTTCCTCTAAAAAGCACAGAAACTTCTTGCTTAACAAAAGCATGTCTGACGTCCAGCAAATTATTTTTATGAGGAGAAACAAAATACTGCGGTATTTACCAGGAATTGTGATAATTCATTTATACACACACTTTATTTAATCCTTGCCATGACCGTAGATGACTTACATATGCTAAGAGCCAGGACTGTAGTCCAATTCAAATCTGACCCCAGAATCCTTAGCATGTTCGATGTGTTTCTGGAAATAGCCTTAGTTTCAGTACCATAAACCGCAGTTGCACTTTTTAACCACCTAATGTGTTAGTGGGGATTATTTTATTATTACATTTAGTTATAGAAAATAACTAGGCTAAATATACTGAAATATGGAATACATGCTGCAGGAAAAACAAAGCAAACAACAGCAACAACAACAACAAAAACAACAACAACAAAAGAAACAGGGCACACATTTTCCAGAAGAACAACTTGGTCCAACATTGAAGTGCTGTTAGTTTGCTCTATGCTGTGGTCATTGCTTCTTTCTACATGTCCCTGTCCTTTTTTTCTCTCACAGAATATTGACTTCCCTTGTTCCTTATCTCCTATAGTAGAAATATACTGTCCACTGACCTGGCTTGACGATACGCTCCTGAGGATAGGAGCTTGTTAAGTCCTGTTAACCCTGATTCCCAATTCTTTACCTCAACTACTGGCAAAGATTTGGAAAATCTGGATCTATTATACATTGGTGATGGGAATGTAAAATAGTACGGCCACTTGTGAAATCTGTTGGAAGTTTCTTATAAAACTAAATGTACAAATACCCGTATAGCTCAACGATTTCATGCTTGGGTGTGTATCCTAGAGAAATGATAGCATACACTCACACAAAAACTCTACGTAAATGTCCATAGCAGCTTTATTTGTAATAGCCAAAAACTGGAATCAACCCATATGTCCTTCAAGAGGTGAATGGTTAAATAAATTGTAGAAAATGCATATCACCGAATGTTAGTAGTAAAAAGTAATAAACTAAACTTGCAACAATTTGGATGAATTTTCAGGGAATTATGCGGAATGAAAAAAGCCAGTTCAAAAAAGTTGTATATTGCCGGGCGCGGTGGCTCAAGCCTGTAATCCCAGCACTTTGGGAGGCCGAGACGGGCGGATCACGAGGTCAGGAGATCGAGACCATCCTGGCTAACATGGTGAAACCCCGTCTCTACTAAAAAATACAAAAAAACTAGCCGGGCGAGGTGGCGGGCGCCTGTAGTCCCAGCTACTCGGGAGGCTGAGGCAGGAGAATGGCGTGAACCCAGGAGGTGGAGCTTGCAGTGAGCTGAGATCCGGCCACTGCACTCCAGCCTGGGTGACAGAGCAAGACTCCGTCTCAAAAAAAAAAAAAAAAAAAGTTGTATATTATATAATTCTACTTATCTAAAATGTTTGAGATGGTAAAATTTACGAGATGAAGAAGAGATTATTGGTTGTCAATGGTTAGTGACATCCAAGGGGCAAGTGAGAAGGAAATGAGTGTGAGGACAAAATGACAAGATGAGAGAGAGCCTTGTGATGTTGACAATGTTTGGTGTCATGCCTGTGACTGTGGTGGTTGACATGCAAAGATGTACAGATGATAAAACTGTAGAGAGATTAATACCCACACCTATACACACATACAAATGAATACAGGTAAACCTGGGGAAAGCTAAGAGAGGTGGGCATATCAGTGAGGATATCATGGTTGTGATACTATAGTTTTGCAAAATGTTACCAATGGAGGAATTGGACAAAATATACATGAGGTATGTCTACATTACTTATATTTGTATGTGAATCTGCAATTATCTGTGTGTGTGTTTTTTTTTTTTTTTTTTTTTTTTTTGAGACAGAGTCTCGCTGTGTCACTCAGGCTGGAGTGCAGTGGTGCGATCTCGGCTGCCTGCACGCTCCGCCTCCTGGGTTCATGCCATTCTCCTGCCTCAGCCTCCCGAGTAACTGGGACTACAGGCACCACCACCACGCCCGGCTAATTTTTTTGTATTTTTAGTAGAGACGGGGTTTCACTGGGTTAGCCAGGATGGTTAGCCAGGATAGTCTCGATCTCCTGACCTTGTGATACGCCCGCCTCAGCCACCCAAAGTGCTGGGATTACAGGCATGAGCCACTGTGCCCAGCCTATCTGTGCTTTTAGAACATAGGTCACTAACTAGTTGTCCCCCAAATGAGTGAATATATGAATGAATTAATGATATTTAGTTGCCTGTTAATCTATAAGGAATGATGACTCATCTTTTTTACTTTTTAATTGATGACCTAAAATGACATTTAGATTTGCTAGATTCATTCATACCAGCTGTAGCAAATAGAAAGGTGAGCATTTTTCTAATGGGAATGAAATGGGTGGTATATTTAACGTCTAACGTTCATACTAAGTTCTAAGGGGGCAACCATTGACTAAAGGTTAAACTAGAGTTTAAATTATTTTGGAGCTAAAGACACAGTTCTTGATAGATGATTCCCAATATTAAACAGATTTATGAATAGCATTATAATACTGTTAAGTTATTTAACATATGATATAGAGTTCGTGATTTCTTACCAATATACTGGGAAACTACATTGCCCAAATTCTGAGTAATGCGTACTTTATCAAGAATTTTCAAGATAAAAGCACTGAGTAGATGCTATTAGGAAAAATGCTTTAGAGATGTGTCACATTACAGCATCCGTATGCCTTTTACACCTAAAAGGAATCCTGTTCTTCTGTCTACAGTTCTCCAAAGACTCAGGCCCATTTGAAAAACATTCTGTTAGTATTCAGGTTTTATACGAACATGGCTGCCCATTGTGTTTTAATGTTATATTAACATATGGATATAGCATCAACTGAAAACATAAAATAACAAGTTATACTCCAAGTACTTATGAAGAAGTACATAATCTGCTCTTTGATATCTCTTATAAAATAAAACCTGCCTAATGTAAACATACACAGAGTATTTAGGGGTGATTGGAGGACGTTCCAGGCCTTCCGATCATAGACCTTTTGATCAGCTCAGACCAACAGAACTGAATATTTGACAACCACATTTTGACGGTTGACACAAAGTACACATTTTTTCCTTGAAACCTTTGTGATTCATTTTGGAGGACAGTACCTGAACACCAACTTCTACTTTAAGCTCAACCTGGTAAGACATAACAAAACTACATTCTAAATGTTTATTTTCCTTGCTTCTCTGAATGAATTTCGCTCCTACTAAAGATGTGTAGGAAGTGGAGCTCATGGTGTTGTGTGGGTGTATTTTGTGCTTTCCACTTATTTTTGTGTAGCTTTCCAATTTTTGAGAATTACAGTCTTTCCAAGTAAAGAATTTTATGAAAAATGTTTATAGATTGAGATTGTTGAAATAAGCATGGTAATTACCCATTTTCTGCATTCTTTAGTAATGTCAGTATTTCTAAATAGCTAGCTCCATTATTCTTTCCATGATATATCATTTCGGAGACACACTTACTATATTTTGCAAAGCTTAGTGAAAACTTAATTTGAGTAGGGTCACATATGTAATATGGGTGCCAGGATAATTGGCCAATTAGCTGCAATGCCTTGAAACTTGATTTCTTCTTACCAATCCCAGTAATTGTCTTTAGGAACTCCTAAGTGGTGTTTCTTGAGAAAATACAGAATGTGCTATCAGCACAAGGCATTATAAGGAAGAACTACTTACAATCAAGTTTTAGACCCTCAAATATATTTGACATGTAATTTGGGCAGAGATAGTCAATAAATAACTAGTGTGTTTTGACTATGTGCTAGACACTGCTCTGGGTACCAGGGGGAATATATATATGGTGTGTGTGTGTATGTGTATATATATTCTATATATATTCTATATGTATGTGTATATATACACTATATATACACACATATATGTAATACATATATGTATATATGTGTAATATGTGTATATATACGTGTATATATGGTTGAACAGAATTATTACTGCCTCAAATATGTAACAAAAATGAAAAGGAAATTAGGATTGTCTTATTAGAAGGACTTCAACTCTGATATAATTAATTTCAGCTTAAAGTAGTACTAAAAGAAACTCTTGGCAAGTGAAGTGATGTAATCCTGGAAATACGCTGATTTTAGAAGTCTTTTGAATACATTGAGGGACATGAAATATTGAAGGTCAGAGGCTGGTACTGAAGTTTTACTGATCATTTTATTTGTGATGATCAAAACCTTAAACAATTGTGATAATGGAAATATGGTGCAGTATTGGGAGCCGACCCAGATGCTGCATGACTAGAGAAGTTATGTGCATAAAATTATCGGTGTATGCATGTGCTCATCATTATGCAAAGAGGAAAGCATACTGCATCAGAACCTTTCAGAATACAATGATTTTGGCAATGCTGCATGGAACACAGTCATAGAGATGTACTCATGTGAGAGCAGCATTGTTGAGGTATTCAAAGAATACATATAAAGATCATTTTTAACACAGAAACTC